AAAAGCTTATGCACTTCGCAAAAAAGCTGCTCGTTACTGTTTACATCAAGGAAATCTTTATCGAAAAATGTTCGGTGGGCCATTAACAAGGTGTCTCGGACCTTCCCAAAGAGAATATGTGATGAGAGAAGTACATGAAGGACATTGTGGAAATCACGCAGGAGGAAGGTCGCTGGTAAAAACGCTGATTCGAGCAGGGTATTATTGGCCTAAAATGGAAGAAAAAGCAAACGGTTTCGTGTCCAAACGTGATAAATGTCAAAGATACGGCAATAATATGCATAGACCAGCTGAGCTATTGCACCCTGTTATAGCCTCGTGGCCCTTTATGAAATGGGTAATGGATATCGTAGGTCCATTGCCACAAGAAAAAGGTCAGGTGAAATTTTTACTTGTACTTACAAATTATTTTACTAAATGGGTAGAAGCAGGAGCATTTAAACAGGTACGAGAGAAGGAAGTTAAAGACTTCATTTGGAGAAATATAATATGCCATTTTGGAACACCAAAGGAAATCGTGTGTGACAACGGTCCGCAATTCATAGGAGCTCAAATTACTGAATTTTTTCAAAGTTCGAAAATTAAAACGATAACATCTACACCATACCATCCAGTGGGTAATGGACAAGCGGAATCCACAAACAAGGTCATTATCAACAATTTGAAGAAAAGGTTACAGGATTCAAAAGGTAATTGGCCTGAGGTATTACCTGGAGTATTATGGGCTTATCGTACAACGACAAAAACAAGCACGGGAGAAACACCCTTTTCAATGGTTTATGGTGCGGAGGCTTTAATTCCAGTTGAAATTGGAGAACCAAGCACACGGTACGTTCAAGCAACGGAGGAATTAAATGATGAAGAGATGCGGGTGAATCTTGATTTGCTCGAAAGAAGAGAATTTGCACTAATAAGGATGGCAGCACAAAAGCAAGTAATTGAACGGTATTATAACAGGAAAGCACGCCTCAGATTCTTTAAAATTGGAGACGTCGTGCTTAAAAAAGTGTTCCAATCTACAAAAGCTGCTAATTTAGGAAAGCTAAGTCCAACGTGGGAAGGACCCTACAGAGTTCGTGACATTGCGGGAAAAGGAGCATACGAGTTGGATACAATGGATGGCAAGGTTCTACCCTCGCATTGGAATGCTGTCCACCTAAAGCGATATTATTTATGAAAAAGTACCTACGATCAGGTATCGCTGTATTAGAATTTTTCTTTGAATTGTTAAAATTTTACTAACGATTTTAGATGCTAGGCAAAAACCCTAACTCGTGCCAAATGATGAGTCACGACCTGCACGGCAAAATGGAATATTCTAAAATTCCCAGCCCAGGGTTACAAATTAATCTGATGGAAATACACTCGGGTTAGGCAGTCTTCATCTTTAATCGCACCTCCGAGTCCCGTATGTTTTTCTGTTTTCAGGAAAAAGGACCAAATTGTGAGAAACAAACAAGTGCTCGAGGCTTCATACTTCAGCGCTCAAACACTTGGGGGACTGCATATTGTACACAAATACGTGCGGTAAGACGGAGACGTAAATTGAAACAAGTATCAAGCAGAAGTTACGGAACCTCAGCATTCATCATTGTGTTCTTTCCTATCAAAACAAAGGAAGATGAAAAACATTCATCGTAGTGTTCTTTCGCATGAGAATAACGGAATCACCTCTCGTACCCTTCCTAATACATTAAGATAGGGTCATGACTATGTATTGAAACAGGTTATAAGGAAAAACATTGTTGAATAGTATTTATTTTATAAAACATCTGTTACAAGAAAAACAGTTACGAGAAAGTTATAGATGTATCTCAATACATGTAATATTCAAAAGCTTGTCCAAGTTTATGAATAAAAACTTGTCAAAGTTGTTTCAAACAAACATGTGTGTTCCTATTTCTTTTATCGTATTATAACACCATTATGAAGTTGAGACGTCTTCTTCATTAAGTGTCGATATATAAAAGGGCCCTCTTTTATAAACCTCATGTTAATAAGTCATGAGAAGAATCATAAAGCATTTTCAAAGGATAAAAATGCTAAACTATTCTATAAGTCCTAAATAAATAAGGAAAAGGCAAGAATAGAACACATTGAAGTACTAACAAACTTCTTGATATAATTAAAAAGACTTAGTAGAAACTTAGTCGACGAAAAGTTTATACAAGTGCCCCATTATAATAACTGGGGACTTTCACCAAAAAATCCCTTAAAAAAATAACTAAGGGATAAAACCATTATCCAACAAAGAAAGAAAAAACAAAGTCTGAAAATTTAACTGGTCACTGAAGGGGTTGGCACATCAGAAGTTACAATATTAATTTCATTTTCAGAAACAGCCACAGGCACGGTGACAACTTCTGAAGAAGCAGCAACAAGAGCGGTTTCAGCTGGGCTTGAAGTGTTAGGTTCAACGAGGGGAGCAAGAGTCACGGAAGTTTCATCTTCCATAGACTGAGTCGTAGAAATTTCACCCTCGGAAGCTGGAATTGCAACATCTTCAACTTCAACTGCCACAGCAGCAGCTTCGTCATTTACAGGTTCCTTAGCCACGGGAGCTTCAATTGCCGGAGAAGTAAAGTCAAATGATTGTTGGGTTCTTTCAATGGTTTCTAAAACTTTGGCCAACTTTGAGTCTAAGTCAAAATTTTCTTGACTGGCCTCCATTAAAGCATCACGACGAGAGTTTAAGAAAGCCCAACTCACCTCTAAATCAAACTTCTCCTCAAGAAGTCCATACTCTCTTTCCCACATAGAAAGATCATTCTTTAACACTTGATGTTCAGCTAAATGAGAATCAAGGGAAGCTTCAAGGGAGGCATGGGAACTTTCTAAGGCATGTACTTTGTCAGAGGAGATCTTTAAATCAACTTGAACTTGAGTCAAGTTTTGCACTAATTCTCCTGCATATTCTTCTTTCTTGTCCAAGAGTGCCTTAAGTTTTCTGATTTCTTCACTTGACTTTGATAATTGTTCTGAAAAGCAACATTCAAGGCGCTCCTTGTCTTTTTCAAATTGACTTGAAGAAGCTTTGGCAACTGCTAGCTCAGAAGTCAGACTTCGATTTTGCTGCTCCAGGTGATTTCTACTATCTAGCAATTCTTCTATGGTTCTCTGATCATTCTCAAACTGCTCTTTCCAATTATCTGCTTCTAGCTGGGCTCTCTTGGCTATTTCCTCAGCCTCGTGGATAGACTTTTCAGATTCACGAGTTTTCTTTTCCAGAAGGAAAATTCTTCCCATCAATTCTGTACCAATGAGGTTAGCCTACAGTGACAACTCATAGAAATAAGAATTTAGATATTAAAAAAAGCTTGTTAGTAAGTAGAGGAAAAAAAATACCTTCAAAGTAGAATGAACTATGTCATTCATCAGAGTTAAGCAACTGTGACTGCTCATCTTCTTCTTCTCAATATCTCAAATCAAAGGCCTAAGCCAGGCATCTGCTCCACCAGACTTCCTTAAAAGACTGTTATTAGCAGGAACTTCAAGTGTAACGCTCCTCATAGCCAAGCTCCTTCTACTAGAACCCTCCTCTGGATGTTGAACAGAGGGAGGGGGAGCTATAGAAGGAGAAGCGGTAGAAGAAGTGAAAATAACAGGAGTCAAAGGACTCGAAGCAGGTAAGGAAGCAGAGATAGGCAAGGGAGCAGAAATAGATAAGGGAGCAGGAACAGATAGAATGGGCAAGGAAGCACTTGAAACCAACGGAGGAATAGAAGGAATGGGAACAGAAGAAGAAAAAGGAACTTCATCTAAAATTGGACCTAGTTCTCCACTTTCAAAACCACCAACAAAGAGGCGTTGAATAGATTTATTGGTGTCCCTCGGAGTGGTTTCATCATCAGAAGGAATGCGAACAGGTTCGGTAAGAGAGGCACGGACAGGGGTAACTTCAGCTTCATCCTCGGAAACGATGCGTCTCCTAACTCTTGGTCTAGCTATTAAAGAGGTGTCTTCATCTTCATCATTCTCAGAATCCTCTTCTACAACTTTCCTCTTTGATAACGTAGCTTGAGTTCTCTCCAAAGAGAGTGAAGTACCAGAAGAGGCTTGAAGGGCAATAGCTACTTCAGCTGTCATTCCTCGAATAGCAAATCTTGACAAAAAGAAGGATGAGAAAAGTTAGAAACAATNGAAGAAGGTGAAGATACGAATCTGATGACGTAAAAGAGTCTAAATACAGCATTAAATATCAAATACGTTAGAGAATCTGAATTAAATAGAAATGATTGTGTAACGTTTCTTTTAATGTCATTTATTGCTCATAATTGCCTCATTAAGACAAAGGCATTACATCTTCTCCTAGAATCAACTATAAAAGGAGAAGGACTCAACATCTATAAGGACAAGAAATATTATTGAGATTACACTGAAATACAAAATTACATATTACTTTATTATTCTCAAAAGTCTTTTAATATTTTCGTCTCCAGATTATCAGTAACCCGAATTTCTCCATATTTCTAAGCTTTGACCAAAGACTCAGATTTTTGATTAAACACTATAGTTAATAATATTGGTTGATAACCTAGAATAAATGATAAAGTAATATGATAAATTATACTGATAGTGTAATTTGTTTTTTACATTATTAGTTCATAACTTATAACTCAAATCCTTTTCACAATAATATGCTGAAATAGGAAATCAAGATAAATATATAACCCACCAGCAACACAATTTGGATATTTGCGAGTTGTGCATGTTTACCAACTTAACATGGGATTCTTACAATTATTTAGAGGAACTGAAGTGCAAAATCTTGTACACCAAGTTCGTTCTCAATGTCACAAAATAATACTTCTGTTTTATTTTATGTAACAATACACTTTCCTTTTTAGTTTGACTCAAAAAAAAAAAGTGACACCTTTATATAGAAACAATCAAACTTCAAAATTTTTATTTACCTTTTGATGTCATGATTTTATAGCCACAAAAAAATCATGGTTTACTTAATTGATGAGAAATGAAACGGAGACGACAACATTTTTGATCTAGCTACTAATTTGGGAGGGTAATAATAAAGAATTCGTTGATATACCTCTGACTTTTAGAATTTTTCTTTTTAGTTGCTGGGCGCACGCCTCACAATGCATGTTGACACTGAGCTCAACAGTCGTCAACTCACTAACCTGAAAAGGTATTAAAACAAGGATGAAACGTTTAAGTTTATGTATATTCTTCAGTCATTTCACAAACCTTTCAGAACCAGCAAGAAATATAAAAGAGCACCTGTGATGCAACAACTTCAGGATCTGCTGGCAGGGGTGACAATACTTTTGCAACTCTCTTTGTTTTATTCATAATCCTGGCGCACAGTTGTCGTGGTTCTATCACACCAATTATTGTCACTTGGTTTTGTGCCATATCTATCATCACTCTTTCAACCCCTGCTCCATTTGAATATAGATTTAATCATTTTATATAATCACAAAACAAACACAGTGGAAGAGTCAAGGCGCGCGCAAACTGACTAAACATATCACTGTTTTTAAAATTAAAAAGAAGGCACGTACACGCAGTGAAATAAGAGACCAAAAGTCGGATAAAAACCTCTAATCTTTGAAATGGACCTCTCAATCTTCTTGGCGCATCCTACACAATGCAAGTCTATATGCAAAACGAAAGGGGAAGGTGGTTTTGGTTCTTTCTTCTCCTCTGTCTTCTCAACCTTATTTTCCTCTATTTCCAGTTCTCCCTAATAACATAAGTATCCAACTTTTTTCTCAGTCTATTAATTCACCAAATGAAAGAAATTCAAGAAAGGAAAAATATGAGTAACCTGTTTAGCTTCTTCACCCATTTTCTCTGCTTATGAGTTATGAGTAACCTGAACAAGTTGATAATAGTATTTGAAACTTGCTGGGATGGTTCGGGTTGAGACTTGAGGGGTTCGGACGAGTTTTGGAACAAGAAAGAACAGGTTGTGAGTAGTGAGGAGAAAACAGCTTCCAAGCTTTCATATACTACTTAAAACGAGGAGAACAAACTGCATTCATAGGACAGTATGAGCTTGCAAAATTTTATTACCCAAAAAGCTAACTTTGTGCGATGGCAGAGCACATGAAGGGGAACTAACTTCATAAACGGTACCTATTTGAATCATATTCAAATCCTCCTTTTTGTATATATTAGTTGAACTGTTTGCTCGGAGGAGGAGAAGGAAAAGGGATTCCAAAAAGCAGGGGATACCCAAATTTATGGACATAATTAAGGAATATTAATAGGAGAGAGAGATCGATAGAGAGAATAATCCTATAATTATGCTGCCTAAGTTTCAAGAACCACTAGTTTGGAAAAAAGAGGGGGAGCTAGAATTTTAACTTTACGAGTTCTGAATTTCTGAACAACGACTTCAAATGATAATAATTGAGTTCTAAATTAATACTCTCTCTGGTTCACTTTAGTGATTTTTTGGCTTTTTTTGTGGTCCACAATATTTGATTTTTAGAAAGAATTAACTTCTTCTTTCCAAAGTTTAAGGTTAATATCTTTAATTTTATTATTAATTAATGCTAAAATATGAATTCTTTAATATGTGTGAAAAGAATTAAAAAATCAGTTAAAGTACACCAAAGAGAGTATTTTTTTTTTACATATTTAATGAATTTTTTATTACACAAAAAAATCACTTCAAGGTGACCCTTGAATTCAGTCATAACTTTAATTTCGATGGTATCTTTTCATATGATTTGAAGGATCTTATGCGGATGCATCAGCAAGGAAAAGGCATCTACGCCATACTGTTTGTTGCAATACAACTAATTTGTAAACTGAACAACTTATTGGGGGATGCTAAAGCGCTAATGATTTGAGTGTAAATATGTTCACGCTTCAAAGTTGGTGTCACATGGGGTTGTTCCGATTCCATAACCTAAATTCCCGCCCCCTCTCCCTGGGGAAAAGACGAAGAAGAGAATACATACAGCAATACAAAAGAAAAGAATAGAGAGGAAAACAATTGCCACTACTTATTAGTAATAACTTGCGTTGCAATGCACCATAGATTTGATTAGCTCTCAACACCAAAGTGGTGGTGTGCATGCCTGGATTGATAACAAGATGTGACATTTCACCTCACTTACCTTACCAAATAAGATGTACACAGAATTTTGCATAAACGATTCAAGACTATTGTCATATTAATTCATTTTGTAAATGAGCTTGGTTCTCAGACTTACTGTTGTTAATATTTACTTTGTATCATTTCCAAGCGGAAAGGACTTAGTTTATATACTCCCTCTTGTTTAACCAAAAATCTGAGTCTTTGCTCAAAGCTAGAAAGAAATTCGGGTTACTGATAATCAGGAGACGAAAATAAAATATTTTTGAGAATGATGGTAAAACAGTAAATAGTTTTGTATTTCAGTAAGATCTCAATAGTATTTCGTGTCCTTACAGATGTTGAGTCTCTCCCCTTTTATAGTTGATTCTAGGAGAAGATATAATGTCTTTGTCTTAATGAGGCAATTATGAGCAATAAATGAAATTTAAAAGAAACGTTACACAATCATTTCTATTTAATTCAGATTCTCTAACGTATTTGACATTTAATGCTGTATTTAAACTCTTTTACGTCATCATATTCGTATCTTCAACTTCTTCTGATCTTTGATCTTTAAACGACTCGAATAGGT